CCAAGCAACTGCCAACCTGGGTCACGTATTCATAGCCATCAACCCTGAGGCGTTTGCAGCTGATTTTGAGAGCAGATTAGGGGATTATTTGGGTTTCATTCGAAGCTCGGAACCGGTAATCAAGATAGTCGTCATAGTTATTTACCTTATTTAGAAGACAACTTGAACATTGGAAACGAATTATAAAGCTAAAATCTTGTTTTCTAGAAAGACTTAACCAGACCCGTATTGGTTCCTGGAGATCCCGAGAGAATCCACATGGACATGGTCGATCGTCAAGGTGGGATTTGCTATGTCGACGACCAACATCTTAGCAACGACAAACTGGCACAATTGCTAAACGTGAAAGCTATGAAAAGCTATGTAATATCTGGAAACCAGCAATAAACGTTAAATTGTTTTAAACGTATGGTCTGCCTAAATAAAAATATTGGAGACTGAGGCAGTCGAGGGTTCTGGAGCCTTCAACTCTGCAGAACCACAACCCAGGCAGCAAAAGATATCTATAATGTCCCTACAATCTAAAAAAGTTTACAAAACGTGTTGCATTTTTGCAAAACAACACGAATACATTCACTTTTCGTACGCTAGGTCGGCAATGTACAATTATATATTTTACAGAAGGGAGTAGAAAAAAACAATACACAACTCACAAAGCAAGATCCCCCAGAAAAAATAAAGAAACAACTCAAAAATAAAGAAAAAACCTGTACTTATTCACCCCGTACCGTACATTCAATTTATCTTGTTCACATTTTAATTGGCTGTAACTTTTTTGTTTTTAGAGGTATCAAGTTAAACAAAAAAATCGAAATGTGGTGTTAGTAGTGACGTATAAAACAAAATATTATCAATCTTCTGACATATAAGCCTACATCATATTTTGTTAAACGGAACATCCTGTTTATTATATATGTGTTTAATAGGACATGGTCTGTTCATAGATATAAGAAAGTGACCGATTGCTTTTGAATAGGATTATCCAAGGGTGGTCATTAACATACAATGCAACAAGATTATTACCTACAGTTTCGGAATTTAAATTCAGGTAAAATTGTGGTCCGTAATAGAAAATAATTTTATACCTACCTGTGTTTAATATTCTTTGGTTTAGTATACTACTTAGTTTAAGTTTATTAGTAATCATTCTTATTTCGTGTGTAATGCAGCGTGTGTTGAATCGTGTGCGAATTATGCAAAATATGTGCGAGTCTAGTGTATCTCAGGAGATGCTCCCGCCCAAATGTAGAAAACACTATTATATTGAGACTAAGGAAGTTATAAACAATGTTTATTTGACTCTCATTGAACGTGGTGCCAGCAAGCAAGTATTTTTAGAAGAAACGGCCACATTGACGAAAATTCCAACATGAACTATATGGAAAATTGTGAATAATCCCATTTCAGCGAGGAAAAAAAGAAGCGATGCTGACATGAAAGAAAAGATGAAAGTAATCAAGATATAATAAGGCGTAAATACCAGTTATATGAAATAGATGAAAACGGTGTTAAATGTGGCAGAACTACCTTACGGAAATGTATTCAACACATGGGTTTTAGATTTAAAAAAACTGACAAAAGGCAAGTTTTAATGGAATGTGTTAGAATTCGAAAATGACGACTGGAATATCTAGAAAAAAATAGGATTTACAGAGAACAACAAAGGCCAATTATTTACTTGGATGAAACCTGGTTCGACAACGGAACGGGGTATCATAAATGATATATCAACTGATAAGTGTAAAACAAACGCGCCATCAAAAAGAGGCAAAAGAATAACTATTTTGCATGCTGGCTTTAAAGATGTTTGGATTCCAAATTGACTAGTCCTCCTAATGGCGTAATTGTAATAGATAATGCAAGTTATCACAGTAGACAGACCCCTCCCTCATGTGACACAAAAGCAACAATCCAAAACTACATGTATAAAGCGACATTTATTTTCACGAAGATTATACCAAAAAGCAATTAATTGGGGTTCTACAAAGCTTGGACCTACAAAAGGAATTGTGATAATTATGCAAAAAATCTAGGGCATACAGTTTTAAGGCTTCCTCCTTACCACTGTATATTTAATCCCATTGTTAACGTGTTAACTCCAATGTCCTCAAACTTATAGAAACCGAAGTTTTTAACATCCCTCCATAAAGTTGGGAAAATTCTGTTAAACATATAGAAAAAGCAGAACAATCGTATATCCATATTGCAAATAATATAGAACAAATAATAATTAGAACAAGCGATGATAGCGATAGTGACATTGGTATATTATGTGAATAATTTTAAGTAATTTAAGTAGGTATTAAAAATAATTTGTAATTTTATTTTAGATTTAAACATAAATTACATACATACATAAATAAATATTGTTTAGTATCTTTCCTAACAAAACCCCAAATAATTAAATTCTAAGCAAAGTACGAACACCTGTTCGGCCTTATTTCATTCTTACAGCTTGCCCGGGTCTTTCCTTAATTCCTATCAGTTTGCCACTTGACAAATCGCTAAAAGTAGGAAATTTTTATATAATTTCAAAGAATGCAACAACAATAATTAATTAAAAATTAATGTAGGACAGAAACATTAAAAATGACAAGACACACTCAAGTAAAAAATTCTTTAACTATTCTAAATACTGGTGAGTGTGACCATCATTTTCCTGAAAACATTTCTCATACACTCTAATTGTATGATGTCATGCATTTAGTAACGTTTCCGGGTTGTCTCTTAACCGATTGATTGCCTCTGAAATTCTTTGCCGAAGTTCCGCGACATTATCTCGAGGTCTGTGCACGTGAGTCCCCAAAAAAAATCCAGTTAAGTCGGGGTTGTTGGCTGGCCAATCCATAGTTCCTCTGTTCACTATTCTGGAATATTCTATGTTAAGAAAATTTTTAAGTTTCACAACATTGTGAGGAGGGGCACCGTCTTGCAGCGCTGATATATTTACGGGCAAATCTTCTATATATTGTTCTATTTGGTGTTCTAAGACTTGCAAATAATGATCTCCAGTTGACTTTTGATCTATAAATATCGGACCCACCCGTATATTAATTTTTTGTTACCCCGTGTTTTTATTTCGTGTATTTATCTAGGATTATTTAAAGATCACTTATTTTGTCTACTACAACCCTTTCGTTAGTGAACTTTCATTAGTCCATAAAATATTTTTCAAAAAATTATTATTCTCATTTTAAAGAGTCCAAAAAAAAACTGAATTCTTCTTTGACATTATTTGATATTGTTCTGCACTTAGTTTTTGAGTTTTCCGAAATTTAAATGCGTTATGTTTATATTCTTTGAAAACTGAGTGGATTGACCCCCGAGAAATACCTCTCTCTTCATATACTCTAGTAATAGAGGAAACTGGATGCTCTTCATAGATTCCTAATATGTTTGCCTTATTTTCTTCATTTATAACCTTATGTCTCGGGCATAGATTTTTAGCATTTAATACGTAACCATTTTCTGCAAATTTCTCTGCCAGCCTCGGACTGCGGTTGCATTTTTGTTATTCAGAAAGTATATTTGAACCATATCCCTCATTTCGTGGATGCTAAATTCGTGAAAAACCGTTTTAACAATAATTCAACCATCAACGTTGGTTACTAATTTTATTTGAAATTACATAAAAATTTTCAATTTTTGCCGATTTGTCAAAAACAAGTGTACTAAAATATAAAGTGTATTACATCATTGTAATCGGAATAAGATATTCTAATAAACACATATATAATATACGGGGTATTTCATTTAAAAAAATATGTTGTAGGCTTATATGTCAGAAAATTGATAGTATTTTGTTTTTTACGTCCCTTGGAAAAAAACTCGGTTACTAACCCTACGTATTTTTTTGTTTACCTTGATATCTCTGAAAACAAACAAGTTACAGCAAATCAAAACGTTATCAAGATAAATTGACAAACTCATAATTTACATTTATTTTTCATTTTCATTTTAATTTATGTTGTTATTATTTGGTAAACACTGTTTTCGTCTTAGTCTCTTGTCAATGAAAAAATATAATGGGATAATGCGCAACTTTGTCCATAAACCATTGACAAAAATTAATTAATTAAGTAGATTAATTTAATTAACAATTCTTTCAGACACAGCCTACTACAATAATTATAAAGATTTCAAAAATATGCCTCAGAGTTTACATATTTCGTATTCTACTTCGATTTTTTTTTTGAGTATTTTAATAAAACAGATCAGACTCAAGTAAGAAATAAAAATGATAATAATTCTCTACATGCTGTCATATTAGCGATATTGTTACGACCATGCAGAGAAGTTTTATTTTTTATAAGCGAAAACTGTACATCGGATTAAAGAAAATAAAGAAATTCTTTAGAAATGACTGGAGATTGTGAGAATAATAAGAGAAATCAGTGGCGTACCATAAATGTCTGCCAAAATAGACTGGTGAAATTCCATACACCCGCCACTGGTATATTAAAAAAAAGTGGTATTACAGATATTAAAAAAATATATTTTATTTTTGAAAAGTTTACCACCCTGTATCCCAAAAGTTAAGACGTTTAGGATAAACGTTCATATGAAGTTTTCTTTTTAAAATGGTCCCGACAATTGCCCCCCAGAACTATTGATATTCAATTAGAAAACATCCTGCAGAAGCAGGCACAGAGTAGAATGCGAAGCGACACAAAAGGAACCCAGAAGATTTGTAAATAGTTTACCACCTTCCATCCACTTACAAGATGCTCTCCGTCCCGTGGAGTATAATACTTTTATCACTGTTTTAATATATTTGGAGCTCAAAATGTCATTACTATTTTTAAAAGAAACGAGTAACACTAAAACTCTGCGTACTTTTCCCGATTTGTTTTCTATTTTATTTTTTAATTTTATAGTAATGTCTGATGCGAATTCCTTTTTGCAGAAATTTTAATTTCTTATACACAAGAAATATTTGAATCGAATTGAACAAATTTAATAACCGACATATTTTTGCAGGTCCAAGGAAACTAAGAATATTTATAATGTCGACAAGTATGGTTTTTATTTGAAAACTTGATTACAAATAGTAAGAAATAGCATTTCCCGGAATTGCGTGCCCTTTAATCGAACTTAATCCCTTCAGCTTCCCATTCGCTGCGATGCCTTTCCAGATATGTCCTGTCGGGATCATACTTGTCCTCGAGTTCCGAAAACCAGTCTTTTTTGTTAGTGGCTAAGTGTTTGATGACCTTCTTCGTCCCAACCTGCTGGGCCTCGCTGCACTTCGAACAGTCAGTCTCCAAAGCATCCGGCAATAGGCCTAAAGGACAGAACGCCCTTACACTTACGCCCACAATTTAAAATTATCTATAAGTCTACAGGGCGGCTCAGAAAAGCGTGAAAATACGATATAATTTTTTTTTAATGGAATACACTATTTTAAAATTTTGTTTTGAAGTCATTTTAAAATTCTTCAAGTTTTTTATTACCTTTACATCTTTTCCAATATTTAAATTTTCCTAAAAAAATTACTAGTTTTCGCACTTGCGAAAAATTACGATAGGGCAATTATTCTTCAAAATGAATAAGAACTAAAAGTTCAGATTTTTCACATGAAAATTGTTTCGACAATACTGTGTCTTTAACAAGTGTATTATTTACAAACTACCTGATACCATATATACCGAGAAATGACAATAAAACCCTAGTTAATGTTGTTGTGAGAATTTAAGTTCAATAAAGGACAGGTATTTAAATCTAATTATCGTTAAGCAATACATTTGAATGTCTCGTTTTGTTAATCTCCGTGGCTTCCAATAAATTTTATTTTATACTTTTTGTATGTAAAATATCAAAATTGTCGCCAAAAATGTGTTTTACTGTGTTTAAGTGTGTAGCATAATTAGATCTAGCCTATTGTTTTTAAACGCTCTTTTATGTTAGTTAATGCGTTTCTTGAAGGATCCATCTGTTTGTCCAATATAAATTTTAGGACAAGATGCACACTTTAACCTGTAGACACCTGATTTTTCAGACTTTTGACATTTCGTTTTATTTATTTGTTTTTTTAATTTTCCTATTGTGCTGTTAGTTCTGAAAGCAATTTTTAAACCACATTTTGACAAATTTTTTGAAACTTTTTCACTGGGTTCTCCTATGTATGTAATTGTTTTAAGTTGTCCGTGTTCTGTGTTCGGTTTCGGATAAATAAAGTTTACTGTTGTCTGGATTAGTTTTTTATTTATAATTTTATCTATAAGCCACGGATTGTAGCCGTTGTTCAGTGCAATTTATTTATTGATATTAAGTTTTTTGGTGTAATTTTCTGTTGAGAGTGGCGTACTAAGAAGTCTGCGTATAAAAGAGCGAAATGCAGCCATTTTGTCTGTATAATGGTGATTTGAGCTGTTATGTTTGACTGTGACAAAATTTTTGCAGGTTGATTTATGAACATGCGAGAAATCAATGATATATACTATTAAATATAAAACCCTGTATATTATACGATTAATAGACACTCCCTTTTATACGCAATCACCCAATGTAGGATTGTCATGGTATAGAGTGTTTTTGGTCATTTGTCCTATACTTGTCTTGAAGTTATTTCGAATCTTTATGCAGGGTGAGTCAAAATGGAAAATATTAATTTTCGTGAAAAAACAAATGGAACACCCTGTATATTATACATCCATTTATTACTCCTGTTAATACTCTTTCAGTTTTATTAAGCATTCCATATACCTAAAGTAACGTATTATCACAAAATGGCATTCGTTAATACAAAATGAAATGCAACAATAATTTAGTATCTCTGAGATTTGAACATAAATAAAGCAATTTAAACAGTATTTTATGCTAGGGATAACATTAAAAATTCAATATTAATATTACTAATAGTTCCACAAAAAACACTTATAAACTAATTTTGATACACGCTCTAACACGATCTTACGATTGGCCAGTATTGGCTGGTATTTCAGGACTGAAATTTTCAAAGTGACCATCTGTTTCATGTCCTCTTTTGTTTTGAATCAGTTTTATATTTCCGGTCTCTAACATATTGCCACAGAAAACAATCAATTTTTGTTAGATCGGGAGATCTAGGTGGCCATTTAATCGGACCACTTTCGTAAATGTTGGTCCAATTTGATAATCATTTCCAAGTTGTACATGATAAGGTTGCGTTTAATTTTGTGTACATATTTTGTACACTTACATGTGAGTTTTTTGTGACTCTAAGCACGCACTACACTACAGTCTTGACTTTCAAGAGTTCTTTTTGAGACCTGCCTTCTATCGGGATACTGTTGCTTGTAAATTGTCGTAGCTAATAACGCATTCTTCTCGCTAGATCCCAGTACCAAAATCATATCGAGCATTTGTTCCATCGAAAAATTCATGGTTGAGTTGCAAGGTAACTTACTAACAAAAAATTAATTGAGAAAACTAATACAAAAAGGACAGGTTTTAAATAATTGTTTATTTACATGGCCAACTTGCCTTTTTATGTCCAACCTACAAAATTTGCATGGCCAACTAACGTTTGCACTGAAAGGCAAAATGTCCAAATTAGTGAAAAGAAAGGAAACACTTTTTCCCCAAAATTAAGAATTTACCTATTTATTTTTATGTTTATTGTCTTATATGTTTTCTCATAATTTGACAAATTTTCGTAGTTTTGTTTGTTAAAATTAAAAGAACATTAATGACATAGTTTTATTTTGTAAATCAAAATTGTGGGACTATCTTAAGATACAAAGAAAGGACCATTTCATAAAGCTAAAGAACTGCTACCAACATAACAAATTCACTTTAGACATAGAAAAAACTAAATACATGCCCTTTGTAACGGGTTCAATTTGTCATTGGCTACTTCGACTTATATTTCTCATATGTAGGTTAATAACGCTCGGAGACTACCTATCGAATGTTTTATTATCACAATTACACACCGTCTTAATCATCATAAATACTGGTATTGCTAATTATTCTTCACTACTTTATTCTGTTCGAACACACTGTAACTGCTTAATTGCTTGGCGTGGTTTGTCGGCCCTAAAATAAATGTAAATAAGTGTAAGCTCTTGCATTTTTGCTGCAATTTAGGGTGTTACTGCGGAATGCGGTTGGATTGCACGAGACGATCGTCCTGTATTTATTCTTATTTCCGAACTAACGGCAATTCCTATTCTTGTCTCTGGTTTTCATTTATTTACACTTGTTGCTTTTTGGAGAGGTTCTTTCTTACTTCTTTACTTCTAATGGCCACAACTGCATAAGGTCATTCGGCCAGCTTACACAATTTTTAACATTATTCAGATATCCTAAAGAATGTCTTCTTAAGAGAAGGGTCTGGACCAATCCATCATCCTTCAGGTTATTTAACGTATACAAAAACGGAAACAATTGCTAAATAAATTGTCATAAAATAAAGACCGATTCTTCAAACGGCTCCCGCAATTATCTTATCCGGGATATCCGATCCCATCCGACCTGGTTACCAGCGTGAATACAAGAAATCCGGAAACCGTGTTAACATACACCTCATGGAACTACGCATCACGAATCCATGTACATCCGCGTAAGACGAACACTATTTCCCAAACTTATAGGCACTACGTCTCTAACACTTCAGATAACGAATATACGTAACAATATTTTCTTTAAACAACACTAATTTCGACCGATTTCTACAAATTTTTGGAACCGGGCAGGAGCAACGTCCGCCATGTGCAATGGTTCCCTCGAAAGTCTCTTTGGAGAGGTTCTTTCTTCTTTACTTCTAATGGCTACGACTGCATAAGATCATTCGGCCAGCTTACACAATTTTTAACATTATTCAGATCTCCTAAAGAATGCCCTCTTAAGAGAAGGGTCTGGACCAATCCATCATCTTCCAGGTTTTTGTTTTTCACGTATACAAAAACGGAAACTTCTAAATAAATTGTCATAAAATGAGGACCGATTCTTCAAACGGCTCCAGCGATTATCTTATACGGGATATCCGATCCCATCCGGCCTAGTTACCAGCGTGAAAATAGGACATTCGGAAACCGTATTTGCATACACCTTATGGAATTACACATCACAAATCCATGTACATCCACGTAAGACGAACACTATTTCCCAAACTTATAGGCACTACGTCTCTATCACTTCAGATAACAATATTTTCTTTAAACGACACTAATTTCAACCGATTTCTATAAATTTTTTGGAACCGGGCAGGAGCAACGTCCCCTATGTGCAATGGTTCCATCGAAAGTCTTTGGAGAGGTTATATTTCAATCCTCTGTCAACGCGGATGCAACCGGCCATTAGTACAGTTAAGCACTCGACCTTTGGCCCTCGTTCGTCTTCGATTTCCTAAGACGTTACTGTGTAATCTCGTTCAAGTGTGTGTAATAATTGGTTTTTATTGATAATAGCGGGTAGTAGTCAGGTAATATTTGGTCTCCTTGCGTTGATTAACTCCTGTCATTATTGGCCCATTGACCATAGTGATGTCGGAACCAAACATCGTGTCCATTGGTCTTTTTTTGGAACTTTGTGAAACTACATCGGTCTTTCTTTTTTTTGGCTTTACGATGTTCGCCGGTGAAAGTGGTTGCAAGATTTCAATACGAATAAGTTTGTGGCATCTCGTAGTTTTCGAGGATCAAACCGGATTGAAATCGTATAGAAGTTGCGGATCGTCGTTTTGTTGGTAGTATTTTGCTTCGACGTCCCCAACATTACAGCTTAGGCTGGATTAAAGCTAACCAACTTAGCATCTGGCACTCTTCACCGCCACCCACGATCATCAGGCGTAAGTTTCACAATTTATTGCACGCGTTGCAAGTAATTATGATCACCGCAACTCATTATTTTGTTTTGTAAGGTTTTGGATTTTCTTTTGGTACCGGTTTTTGATTGTTGGTCTGGTTTTGGTTTTCCATTTGGTACCGGGTTCCCTAGTTCCGGTTCATTTGGATTTGGGGCCTCTTTCCCTTCGTGGACGGCACGTTTTTTGAATTCTGCAACCCAAGAATTACCTAGTCTTCAAATTAGCTCGGTTCCGGACGTTGCAGTGCATATTTTCTCGTCCAAGAGTGATTAGCATTCGTGCCTATCCTACTGACTGGTGAATCCGGAGGCAGTATACAGAACAGCTGTGTTAAAGCTTGCCCCACTCGTTCGTTGCTGGTAACTCGAGGATCACAGATAAGCCTCTATTTACGTTGAGGTTAATTTTCTGTCTATTAAATATAAATTGGAACTTTTAAAACATCAGTTAGGGTAAACATTTTTATTGGGATAATTATTTGTAAACGATCGATCATAACCAAGCTTCCTGAGTTTATTGTATACTTAAGTATTTGACGTATACTCAGTTTCCCAACTTGGAGCTCCTGGTCTAATGTATTTTGCTTATATTCTGTGATTGAAAATCTGGTCCAGTAGCCAATATATGGAGATGTAAACTGACGTGCCTGTCTAATTTATTTATTATTTATTTGCCTAGAACTTTGTTAACTTTGTGAGTTTGTTTGGTGGCTAGTGAGCAAGGACACTAGTCACTACCACTAAATTATAGTATAGGTTGGGGTATTGTCCTAGCTGGCGCCCCGGTTTCCAACCTCATATTTATTTATTATTTTTTTTGTATACCCCGCCCATATTTTGAGAAACTGAGCTGCTTGGGCCCTATACTTACTGCTTTCAATCGGTAGCAAAGTGAGCAAAGTATAGTAGGATTGCTTTGGTCTCTCCTCCACCTCGCGTGGAAAAGAGACGTGGCACCTTCTCAAATTTCAAAAATAAAAAGCTTAAAAAATTAAGAGGGCTTCTGACGAACGTATTTAAAATAATTTCTTCATACTAAACAATTAAAAATTCTTTATTTGTCTTTGACGACCTACGGAATTCTCGGATGAGGTGGAGCCTTTAAAAAACAGCTACGCAAACTTAACCTAATACAAAAATGGTTTATAAATATTATACACTTTATAAAATATAAAAAATACAAACTTCAAAAAAATATTTGACAGTACATCCCGATTTTGCACTTGATCGCTACCAAAACACAAACATTTTCACTTTTATCATTTTTATTAGAGGATAAAAAATTATACTTTGTAATTTTAATGTATTTGATTAAATAAACGTTTTTATTATTATTTATTATTAGTATATACGGTGTCTTATTTGATTTTTTCACGAAAATTCATATTTTTTATTTTGACTCACCCTGTATGATCGATTCGATCTAACTCAAGACTTCAAGTATAGGACAAATGAATGTAGTACTTTATAAAATTGTTCGAATAATAAAATTATAACTGTCGGAAACGGTGTCAAAAAAATAGAGTATTAAACACAGGGCAAATCCGAAAACACTAGGTATTGACCACAACGACCCTACATTGGGCGTTTGAGTATAAAAGGTAGTATCTACTAATGTAATAGTATACAGAGTGTTCCGTTAAAAGATATATGAGTTTTGTTTTCCATATATTTATGAATAACTCTGTATATTTTAAAATGTTCTTTCTATAACCTTTGTATTCAACATTTTTCTCATAAACAAATAAAAAACGATACCGTTGGTATGGCTAAGTGTGAGTAATCGTAAGACTAGACTCCGCATTTTGTAAGTGTACAATAAAGATTTTAAATAAATTTTTAAAAAATTGAACACAAAAGATGTTTAGAATTCACACGGAATTTCGAAATGTAATAATATTTGAAAGCGCTGCATGACCAATGGGAGTCAAAGTCAATGAAGAAAATAACAAATATATGATAATGTCAAAGAAAACCAGACAACAAATCAGACAAAATATCACTATGAACGATCACAATTTCGAAGCCGTTAAGGAATTCGAATATTTAGAAGGGGTTATAACAGATGACAACAAAGAAAAGATGAATGTAGTAGCAAGGATTCTAGCAAAAAAAGGATCTTTTTATGCGGTACAACACCTATTTAAGTCTAAACCGGTAGTTGCATATGGCAGTGAAGCCTGGACGCAAAATCAAAGAGAAATAAATAAATTGTTGGTGTGAGAACGTAAGATACTATGAAGTATATACGGCCGGTATAGAGATGATAAACACTAATGGATAGCGACGCAGACACAATGAAAAATCAGAAGAACTGTATGAAACTAACCAAAACTGCCTAAGATGGGCATCGCCTTATTAACAACGTGTTTCGGGAAAGGCCAGACGGAGAAAGGTCAGTAGGACGCACCCGTAAAAGGTGGAAGGATGCACTTGCTGAAGACCTTAAGAAAATGAGGATAAGGCAATGCGAAATCAGTGCACAGGATCAACAATATTGGCGAGTTATCGCAAACGCAGCCAAGGCTCACGATGAGTTATAGTGCCAGAGAAGAAGAAAAAGAAGAAGAATATACGGGGTGCAACTTCCGGTTGTGTGACTGGATGTATAAAGTATTTGCTTAAAGCACTGTGCGTTCAATTTATCTTGATAACATTTTAATTGGCTGTAACTTTTTCAAGCTAAACAAAAAAATAAAATGTAGGGTTAGTAGCCAAGTTTTTTTCCAAGTGACGTATAAAACGAAACAATATCAATTTTTTATGTATGTATATTATATATGTGTTTAATAGAATATGTTATTCCGATTTCCATTTCCGTTTTTGACAAATCGGCAGAAATAGGAAATTTGTCTATAATTTCAAAGAGTGCCCTGACTGACAAATAAAAATATGTTTATGTTTGACATATTGGTAAATAACGTTCGTGGTTTAATTATAGTCCAATTCATTATTGTTAAAATAGTTTTTCGCGAATTTAGCATCTGTGAAAGGAGTGATATGCTTTAAGCATATTTTCTGAATGATAAAAGTGCAACCGCACCTCGTCGTCAGTATAAGTCTGGGTATAAGGCTGGCAAAGACAGTGGCAGAAAACGGTAATTTATTAAATGCTGATTTTTACAAAACTTCTTCTTCAGTCAAGCTCTGAAGAAGCCAACAGGATGATTGGCGAAACGTCAGCAATTTCAACTAAGCAAAAACCGACGCAGGAGAGATCCAGAAGTCTTGTGAAAAACATTACAGTAGCCTGTGGACATTTCTTTGAAAAATATTAAATGCTAAAAAGATATGATAATGTTTTAAGTGAAGAAAATAAAGGAAAATATATTAGGATTCTATGAGGCACATCCAGTTTCCTCTATTACTAGAGTACATCAAGAGACAAGTATTTCTCGGGAATCGATCCACTCAGTTTTGAAAGAATATAATTATAATGCAATTAAATTACGTAAAACTCCTAAACCAAGTGCGTAACAATGTCAAAGGAAGATGCAGTTTTGTTTAGATTTCTTTAATAGACATAACGAAAATAATAATTTATTGAAAAACATTTTATGGACTGATGAAAGTTCGTTCACTACAAGAAGGGGTTGTAATAGACAAAATACGTGATATTGGTCTTTAAATAATCCTAGGCAAATACACGAAATAAAAACCCAGGAGTACCAATCAATCAGAATATACAAGATTTACCACTAAATATATCAGCGCTGATTATATAGCAGCAAGACGGTGCGCCTCCTCACAATGTTTGCAAGTTAAAAATTTTTCTTAATCCAGGGGTTGGATATGGAACGGAGGAACTATGGATTGGTCAGCCAACAGCTCCCACTTAACTTCGGCAATCGGTTAAGAGACAATCCGGAAACGTTACTAAATACAAGACATCATACAATTAGAGTGTATGAAACAGGTGTTCAGGAAAATGTTGGTCACATACAGCAGTATTTAGAATAGTTAAAATTTTTTTTTCTTTAGTGTGTCTTGTCATTTTTACTGTTTTAATTTGTAAATGATTATTGTTGTTGTCAAAAATATAAAAAATTATTAAACCGATATATAATATACAGAGCTTTCTATTTAAAAAATATGATGTAGGCTTATATGTCAAAAACTTGATGGTGTTTTGTTTTATACGTCACTTGGAAAATGACTTGGCTACTAAGCCCACATTGCGTTTTTTTTTACCTCGATATCTCCAAAAACAAAAAAGTTAAAGCCAATTAGAACGTTATCTAGATAAATTAAACGCACGGTATACTTGGTCGGTTGTGAAAACTTCGGTTTAGGCTGGTTTACTTTGAAAAAAAAAGCGACCTTACGTTTCAACTCAGCGGCGTCCGGTGCACATGGGCCCCTATCCATGAGACAGTTGACGTAATTCTGCAGGAGCCTCTCACTCCGAACAATCTCGTCAAAATCGACGTTGTCATACTTCGTGGTGTACTTCTCGTCGGCCGTGACCGAACAGATCAAAGCGGTCAATAAGAAAATAATCGCGAACATGTTTGCGACGAAATGAATCGCAACAAATTGGATCGCGATTTTTATAAGACCCAAAGGTTTATTCGTTTCCGCGGTTCTCTGCAATTTTCGTAATTAACGCCGGATTTAATTACTTTCGTATTAAGACTGGGAATTACGGATATTATCGGTCTAATTTTGATTTACCGAAAACGGTTCGAAAACATGTCAGCATAATTGTTTACTGAAAATCTCGCTTGTTTATTGCGACTCACCGGGAAACGCACAAATAAGTAAAAGCAAAGTAAAGTAAAACCCACTCGTTTTCCTTTCCGTGTGCTCTTTTTTAATAGAGAAAGCTAATGTAATTTTTGTTTTTCGAATTTCCGTAATAAATGTGCTTATTTCAAAGGAGATCTTGCGCCACTCTTTTGCGAACCGGGCTCGAATTCTTGAAACCGGGAGAAAAAGGTTCTAAGGGAAACTTTTTGCTTTATATTGTAGTTTCGAGTGAGAATCTCAGAATTATTGCTTTGCTGTTCTCGAACTGCATTATAATTGCAGTGGTAAAGTGACGCTTCCCGCACGCTAGATCGGCGTGTAATTAGGCATTTTAAAGAAGGGAGTAAATATTTTAAGGCCACCAAAACAATATAGTACAATAATAGATTAAGTATTCGTCAGAATGAGCTTTTTGTAAGAAAATTTCTGTAGTTACTTTTTTTTTTTCAAACTAGAAATTGTCGTTCTAGGATATGTCTCGCATATTTAGGTGGCGGTTTGTCAAAGGAGTAGAACTAGTGGAAAATAGGGCATTAGGTGAAAACGTATAAATGACTCGACGAAAAGAAAATAAATCTAGTAGTGCATTTGTGATTATAAGCAGCAAGAAACGGATACAGGGATTTCATTTTTATTTAACTTTCTATCTCGTAAAATGTAGAAGTATGGTATTCACAAAAACAGCTTCAAAAGATTATTATTATTATTATTTGTTACTTAAAAAATGCCGTGTCCTTTTGGTCTTTTTTTGCCAAAATTTGATTTCAATGCACTCATATAGTTTTAGGTCATCCGCATAGGCAAGCTTGTCGCAGAAGATCAAAGATATAAGATCGTCTATAAATATCTTGAACAGAAGTGCTCCAAGATTAGAACCTTGACGCACACCAGAAATTATAGTATACATGCGCTCCTTTGTATGTTATTTCTGTATAATATTTCTGGATTTCAGTTTTTGAACTTGATGAGGCTGGTGCTTGTGGTAGCTGACGTTATCCCTGACAATAACATTATTATTGGGAATATTTTTTAAAGGATTGTTTTGATAACGATAATCCAAGCTGGAATCCTTAACATTCTTTGCAGACAACAGCAAGCGATTTGCCGTTTTCGCTTATTTTTTGGATACAGTGTCGTGTGTATCGAACCATGTTTCATCAAGGTAAACTATGGATCTGTTGTCTAATCTATATCTCTTAATTTCTTGAAGGTAATTAAATCTCCATGCGCGTGATTCCATTACTATTTGCATTTTGTCTATTCTGCGGTACTTAAATCCCATTTTACAGACTACAATATGGAGGGTGCCACAGCTTATATTTATATTGGTTTCATCTTCTTCTAGCTTCTCTTTCAGTTTATCCAAGGTAGGAACAACTTCGCTTTGATGAAGGCCATATATTCTCCTTATATCGAACCATATTTCATAAAGGTAAATTATGGACCTGTTATCTATCTATCTTATAATTAAATCCACAAGTGTGTGATTCTATTGTTAAACAACCCTATGGTGATGGTTTCACCATCTTCCAGCATCTTTTTCAGTTTGCTCAAGGTAGAAACAACTTCGCTTTGATAGAGGCAATCCATTATTAGGTCCTGATCACTATTGTTTATACGGTGAGTGTAAAAATCAATTGGCGTGTTTGTAAGTAGACAGGTTTCTTTTAATGCTTCTTGTTTAATAAGTTCTCTACTGATTAAAGTTTTATACGCATTTTTCACCAAGCAACAAATTCGCAATACATACACTACATACAAATCAATACTTACGTGTTTTCATCTTTCCCCCATACTTACTTTACCTATTTCGCAAATGATGCAGTTTCTACCCTTCCTGCAGCATCGTCTGAGCGACTTATCACCACTTATAACCAAGACAAGTGTTGAGCCAATGAAACATTATGCAGAAATTAACAAATTGACATTAAATGAAATGAAAGTAAACTAAGGTCACCTTTTCAACACAGGATTTAAATAAGAGTTTATTAGTACGCTTAAATGAAAGCACAATTCAACAGAAAACCTCAAGACTCTCCTGGTTCGAACAGGTGAATCACATTCTCAAAAAAACTTTCTGTTTACTGCTTAGACATATGGAGGCTCCGCCATCAGGTTTCTTTGCCCTTGTTTTGAAAAATTCGATTTCATCGATCGAAAAATCGTTAGGTCCTACGGGACCCCCATTGGATCAGCTTTGAAAAAAGATTTTTTTTTCTGTCCATTCTCCGTTCTCTGTTCTAGGGGTTTTCGGCAATAACTTCCGAACTGTTTGAGCTACACGCTTCAAATTTTTTTACACTCTACGGAATACATAAAATATGTAAAAATGGCCATCTTTTTTTTTCGATTTTGGACTATTTTTTAGACGTTGCTATGAAACACGATAAGTGTCCGAAAATTGAAACTATAGACTTCAAATTTGGCAGCTGGATGGCGCTTGGTCCCCTAACGAAACCTATTGAAATTGGGGATGCTGACCGTCAGAACCGTCAGAACTGACAAACGTCAAAATTCAAAGCGTGGGAACTATCTCCGAAAACATCTGATTTCTCCCAAACATACCCGACGTGGTAAAATGACGCTTCCCGCACCCTAGATCGGTGTGTAATTAGGTATTTTACCGACGGGGGTAGAAAATTAGGATATTATGCAACAAGCGCATTAAACGGCATTTGACTCACTAGTTTATTTGACAAGAGCGGAGCGAGTGTATAAATAAACGAGTGACTTAAAAAGTTTACCGAACGTGTTGCATACTATACTTTTTCTACGACCGTTAGTTTTTGGGTATATTTTCGCAAAACCATCAATGACATGACCGTCAGGATTGAGAAACGTCAATTCAAACCGTGTGAAATATTTCCGAAAACACCCGATTGCTCCCAAATCCGTTCGGTAAAGTCCCGGAAATGTCCGAAATGGCTCGGATTCGTGGGAAACGAAACTGACGTGGTAAAGTGACGCTTCCCGCACGCCAGATCGGTGTGTAATTAGGTATTTTACACACGGGAGTAGAAAAAAGATTTTAACCATTCAAGCGAGTGAGTGAGAAAGAATTTGCTGATCTGTAGAACGGTTTCCACCAAAAAAGCTAAGGCAGTTGATGACGCCAATAAATGTATATTAACGATATTCCGAAATGGGATAAAAATTAGCAACGCGCGTACAAGCGCGTAAATTAGAAATTGCCGTGTTTTGCTCTGTGACGACAAATTGTAATGCCTCAACTAAATTAATAATACTCCCAACTTGTTTTCTAGTAATGTTCGATAATTAATTGCGACTTTAATTAACGCTTGCGGAGCGAAATCTATCAAATTGCCTGTTTACCATGGGCGACCGATAAAAAAAACCTTCGGGAATCGAAATGGATGTCACGTAAGTGGGCTAATGAATAATTTGTGTTATTAGCACCCTTAATATGGTGTTTCGTACGAGGACGCAAATTTTCCAACAGTATTATGGATTACCGGCAAAGAAAATCACCGAAGCCACCGAGACAAACCAACGAGGCATATCTGGGTTTTTTTTTATGAAAGACTGGCTTAAAGAAGAAGTCGACGAGCTATTTAAATTAGATAAGAAGAGGTAGAGGACCATCAAAGAAATTAAAAGCAAAGTAAGTTTCGTCGTCTTTTCAATATTGTAGTTATACATAAAAAATTTCTACGTCTCCTTATTTTCTGAATTTCATTGTCTAATATTAATTGTGTATTGAAGATTTTCCGCTTTCAGTACTTACAGTTTTTGAGGTAGGTATGTTTGTTGTGTTCAGTTAACTGATCGAAGAAATAAAAAACAATGATACAGTTATCTTGCATTTTTCGAAAAGCAAGAGTAGTGTGCTTCGACAGCTAAAAAATTATTTTGATGCCATGCGTTCGTGATGTGTACCGTGCGTTCAATTTATCTTGATTACATTTTAATTGGCTGTAACTTTTTTTGTTTTTCGAGATATCAAGGTAAACAAAAAAAATGTAGGGTAGTAGCCAAGTTTTTTTCCAAGTGACGTATAATACGCAACACTATAATTTTCTGACATAAGGCTACATTACATTTCTTAAATGAAACAATTATTTATCTGTTTAATAGAATATCATATTCCGATTACAATGACGTAACACACTTTTGTATTTTAGTGCACTCGTTTTTGACAAATCGCCAAATATACAAAATTTTTATATAATTTCCAAGTGTGCCCTGATTGACAAATAAAATTATATAATTGCGTAGGCTTTCACGGCCGGCGTCACAATCTGTGAGATTTTCCGGGCTGTTTCAATGTCTCATTTTGTTAATCTCCATGGCTTCCAATAAATTTAATTTTGTGCTTTTTGTGGCTGTGTGTAAAATATCAAAATTGTCGTCAAAAATTTGTTTTTATGGGTTTAAGTTGTGTGTTGTGTTTAACATTAATTAAGGTTTTATTGCCATTTTTCGGTATATATAGCAGCATGTAGTTTGTAAATATTACATTTGATGAAGACACGGTTCAAATATTTGTCATGTAAAAATATATAATTTCGTGAAAATCTGAACTTTTATTTCTTATTTATTTTGGACACGTTTATACCGAACAGAGCCTCTCTAGTCCCCATACCCTTTCTAAACCCTAATTCGCTATTGCTGATTTTGGAGTCTAACTTCACCTTTACCTTTAAAGTGTGACTCATAAGGGGAATTGTTCGATGTTCGAAACATTCTGTAGCATTTTGTTTCTTAGGTAACATTATAAATGTAGGTGAAAGCCACTGACTTGGAATAACTCCAGTTGGGAGTATG